ATCTAAAACTACTTTGCCTTCTCCATTACATGTGTGGCACGTATTAGTTGTCACCATCTGACCTAACATGGTCTGTTGCACTCGTCTGATTTGGCCCGAACCTTGACAAGTTCCGCATGTTTGCAGCGATGTGCCATGTTTTGAACCGTTTCCAGTACAAACTTTACAAGCTACGTAGCGTTTTACTTTTATTTTTTTCTCAACGCCGTTCGCAATTTCCTCTACGTTAAGTTTTAGTTTTATTCTTAAGTCTGAGCCTTTTCTAACTGCTCTTCTTCCGCCACCAGATCTACCGCCACCGCCAAAGAAACTTCCAAATGGACTTCCATCACCAAAAATGTCACCAAATTGGCTGAAAATGTCTTCCATATTTACGCCTCCGGCACCGCCAAAGCCACTGGCACCGCCTACTCCTTCGTGACCGTATCTGTCATATCTTGCCTTTTTGTCAGGGTCTGACAAAACGCCATAGGCTTCGGCTATTTCCTTGAATTTCTCTTCCGCCTCTTTGTCACCAGGATTTTTGTCAGGGTGATATTTAATTGCCAATTTTCTATAGGCTTTCTTTAAATCATCCGCACTGACGTTCTTGGCAACGCCCAACAAATCATAATAATCTTTTTTTGCCATATTTTTTAGCTTTTAGCTTTCACTCAAAGATGGCCATCCTTGAGCTATTAGCTCTTTTAATCTGCCTTTTGAAAACAGAAAAATTATTTATTATAGTTTTAGTAATTCTGAGTGGATTAAGAATTAGAATTAACTTCCAACTACCACTTTAGCATATCTAATCACCTTATCATTAAGGTAGTAGCCTTTTTCTACTTCGTCAACAACTTTTCCTTTTTTGTCGTCTCCGGCAGCAAATTGTGTAATGCACTCGTGCAATTCCACGTCAAAAACTTGGTCTTTAGATTCCATTGCTTTTAGGCCTTTTGAGGCAAGCGTTTTCTGGAATTTATTGAATATCAAATCAACACCTTCTTTGATAGCTTTTACATCTTCTGAAGTTTCCATCGATTTTTGAGCACGCTCAAAATCATCCAGAACGGGAATCAATTCCTTCATTAAGCCTTCAGTGGCATTCATGATGGTGTCAATTTTTTCTTTGGCTGTGCGTCTTCTGAAATTCTCGAATTCAGAGTACAATCTGATATATTTATCCTTTGCTTCAGCAACTTCAGCTTCTAATTTGTGGGTTTCACTTAGTATTTCTTC